AGCTCAGAGGAGGAAGGCATCCCTGGGGCTGGTGGGCAGGGTGGCATTTCTGGAGGAACTGAGAGGAGACACGGACCTTTTGAGATGGGAAAAGCAGCCAGGGAGATGGGAGCACAAGCTCTCCAGTGGGAATGTGCGAGAAGTGGTCCTCCTAATGAGTCTCCAGAGAAGGCTGAAGGCTCATTGGTAGACTAGTGTGGACGGCTGGGGGAGGGCTTGGAGGGGTCTGTGGGAAACATGGAGAATGGAGCTTTAATACTAGGCCAAGGGGAAGCCAGGCGCAGTGGCTCACGCCTGTAATCCCAGCACTTTGGGAGGCTGAGGTGGGTGGATCATGAGGTCAGGAGATCGACACCATCCTGGCCAACAGGGTGACACCCCGTCTCTACTAAGAATACAAAAATTAGCTGGGTGTGGTGGCGTTTGCCTGTAATCCCAGCTGCTCGGGAGGCTGAGGCAGGAGAATGGCTTGAACCCGGGAGGCGGAGATTGCAGTGAGCTGAGATCATGCCACTGCACTTCAGCCTGGTGACAGAGTGAGACTCCATCTCAAACAAAAACAAAAACAAACAAAACCAGGCCAAGGGGTTTGGATTTCACCAGGAAGCAGTGGTCGCTGCTCCACTCTATCAGTTAGGAAACTTGGCTGAAGTGCTTTGCTCTGTGTACGGAGCTGGCATTTTTCCTACAGAGTTGCACTGTCCAAAATGAAAGTCACTCACCTCCAGTTGCTACTGGGCACTTGGAATGAGGCTAGGGAGAACTGACATGTGTTGTAACTACAAAATAGCCACCAGATTTTGAAGACATAGTATGAAAAGAAAAGAACGTAAAAAAGCTAAATAATGTTTTACATAGAATACATATTGAAATAACATTTCGGATATGATGAATTACAGAAACATATATTATTCAAATTAATTTCAACTGTTTCTTTTTACTTTTTAAAAGGTGACTACTAGGAAATGTAAAATTCCCTACGTGGCCCACCTTATAATTCTGTTGGACAGTGCTGGATGAGAGTCTTGACAATACCCATTTTCACCCCATTCTTTTCCTTTATAGTCATGCTTATCTTCTACTTCTCTTCTTTATCCCTCTGCAGTCCTCCCTTTTCTTGCCTCCCTTCCCTCTGTCACACTGGCAGTCTCCTTCCCTTTGTCCTGTGTCATGGTAGACCACGGAATGAGGGGAAGGGGGTCTGGCGCCGCTTGCTCTTGCTGCAGCTCCCGAACTCAGCAAAGCCAGAATCTATAAGGCAGAGAGGCCCTACTTATGGAAATGCTTGTGGGAATTAAAGTTCTAGATAATTCTTTTCTGGCTCACTTGCAGTCAAGCAGAAATTCTTTGGATTTTCATTTCTTTTCGCAAAGATTTATCTTAAAAAATTGATCAGTGGCATGCACATAATCTACAAGGCTGAATAGACTAGTATAAGACACATTGAGTCAAGCAGCTTCAGTCTGCCCTTTGCCCTCCACACCAGAGGCAAAATCCCTCAACTGCAGCTCACTTTTAACTCTTCTTCAGGCATTTCTTTCCTAAAGGACATAAATTACCAATCAAATTTACAACCAAAGATTAGATTTCTATTTGTCGATTTTTAAATTTCTAATATTGCCTATGTTATTCATATTGTGGAAGAAATGTCTTTTTCTGTTCTAATATAGCTTATTATCTGTTTTATTGTTAATATAGAAATGTTGTTTACTGTTGAGCCAAGTATAACATCATACAGGTAGTTACACTTTCTTACACAACTTTTTCTTTTCCTGGTCATAATAATTGCCTCATTTTCTTTTGATTGTTTTGTTTTCTATAGTATTTTTACAAATTCTTACCAAATTCTCTATCACATTGTAAAATTCCTTCAAATACTATTTTTTAAAATACTCTTTTTTTCCTTTTTTTTTTTTTTATTGAGATGGGGTCTTGCTATCTTGTCCAGGCTGGTCTTGAACCCCTGACCTCAAGTGGTCCTCCCGCCTCAGCCTCCTAAGTAATCCCAAAGTGTTGGGATTATGGGTGTGAGCCACTGTGCAGTAATACTATTTTCCTGTGGCCATATTTGTCAGCAGTCGCATTGTTTCCAGTCCCCTCTCCTCTCCTCCAGATCCCCTCCCAGAGTCCCTCCTATTCCCCTGTGGAATGGCTGCAGAGGTCCCTGCGCAGCTGTGTGCTTGGGAAGCCTTCCACCTCTGTCGAGTGCAGCCCTGTTTTGTTGTTCCTCTTTCTTGGTTTATGTTAGTACCTTTTTGAGGAGTGTTGAGAAGCTTAATTTTTTTTTAGCTTATATATGTTTGAAAATGGCTTTATTCTATTCTCATACTTGATTAATGGTTTGGCTGGGCAGATAATTCTAGATTGGAAATCATCCTTCCCCCTCAATACCTTGAAGGCAGCTGCTCTATTGTTTTCAAGCTTCTGGATTCATTCATTCTTGAAAAATCTCAAGCTATTCTGATTTCTGACCTTCATGGGACCTGTTTGATTTTTCTCTGGAAGGCTTCAGAACCACCTCTTTGCTCCCGTTGTTTGGATACTTCATGGGGAGATGTCTTTCGGGCGGGTTCTTTCCCCCATCTATTTTGCTGGGCACTCAGAGGCCCTTTTCTATCTAGGAATGCAGACTTTCAGTTCTAGGAAACAGGCTTCGTAATTTTTTTCCTAATTTTCTCCCTATCATTTCCTCCATTCTTTCTCTCTTTCTAGTGAAATGTGGAATTTCTGACTGGTTCCTTCAACGTTTGCATCTTTTTTCCTCCCATTCCCCACTTCTTTGTCTTCTCATTCTGGTTTCTTGGAGTCCTCAGCTTTGTCTTCCAGTTGCCCTGTTGAATTTTATTTCATCTCATACATTTCTAATTTCCAAGAGATCTTTTTCTCGTTTTCTCATTGATCCTTCTACAAGAGCTTCTTGTTGTTGCATGGATCCAACATCTTATTTTCCTGAGTGTATGGATTATATTGTTTTGAAGTTAATTTTTTTTCTAGCCCTTGCATTAACTCTGTTCCTCTAGTTCATTTTTTAAAAATTATACTTTAAGTTCTGGGATACATGTGCAGAACGTGCAGGTTCATTACATAGGTATATATGTGCCATGGTGGTTTGCTGCACCCATCAATCCATCATCTACATTAGGTATTTCTCCTAATGCTCTCCCTCCTCTTGTCCCCTACCCCTCGACAGGCCGCGGTGTGTGATGTTCCCCTCCCTGTGTCCATGTGTTCTCATTGTTCAACTCCCACTTATGAGTGAGAATATGTGGTGTTTGGTTTTCTGTTCCTGTGTTGGTTTGCTGAGAATGATGGTTTCCAGTTTCATCCATGTCCCTGCAAAGGACATGATACTCTGAGTTCATTTTTAAAAATTTGGTAGGTTCTCTTTCTCTTTTCACTTTGTAATCAAAAGGCTGATCACTCTTAGGCTATCTGTTCATGCCAAACAGTAGGTCACTAAAGCTGTCTAGAATGCCTGTGTGCCTTGAGGGTGAGAATGGACTTTTCAATGAATGGGCTTCATTATAGAGTGGCCAGTTGGGGACCCAGTGATTTAACTGGGGTGCTCTCAACCAGAAGTATCTGCAGAGCTCTTCCTGGGACCAATGATTTTCTTTAGAGAAGCATCCCCCAGTTTCACCCTCGGGCTGTGGAGGGTGCAGGGGAGGGGCACACGCTTGGGTAACAGTGTTTTTTGCACCAAGTGGTGGAAGAAGACAGGGATTCCAAAGTTTCATATACAGACTTTCACTTAATTCTGCTGTGTTTGTTAGCATGGTGCTGCACCCCTCCCCTCTTCTGCCTGGGGTCAATCCCCACTCCTACTGGAGCCTCTCTGGGAAGGAAATTCACTGCCCTGCATGAGAACGGGGAGGTGCCCTGGGCAGAACTACTCCTTACACAGATTGCAATCAGTCTCCCTGTTCTCAGTTCTGCCCTTTCTCCTGCCTTCCAAAGTAGTCACTGCCTCCAATTCCTGACCCTTCCGGCACTGTGCGGCAAGACTTGTCCATTTCTTCTTGACCACTCCTTTGGTAGGTGCTTGGTCTTCAATTTCTCAGCTCTGCTAATTCCTCCATCTGCTTTCTTTTTCTTCCAAAAATTTGTTGACATCTGTTGCCTGCTGATGTCACCTCTCCTGTTCTCTGTCCTTGTCTGTTTATTGTCTCTTTATTCCTTTGTTCTCATTTTAGTGGGTATTAGGAGGAGCAGACATGTACTGAATCTGCCATGGTTAGCAGGAAGTTTTCTGTAAATCTTTCTGAAATGCCGGGTCTACTTCTTGGCCTCATTAAAGGCCTTCTTTGCCACCTACAGCTGGATTTTCGCTTAGAATTTGTAAGGCTTTCTTGTCATCAGGCTCAATTTTATTTAGAAAAGGACTAGAGCTCAAATTGAATGTAGCCTGAACCCAGCTTATACCTGGACACATTTGCTTTTAAATAAATGACAATGTTATAATAAATTATTTAGCTATTACTTAAATAAAAAAACTCTTTCGTGTGATCTGAGTCTTTTCTTTCCTTAAAACTGTATGCAAAACAACTTCTGGTTGTTTTTTCTCTGAGAATTAGGGCTCCATACGGATTGAGTCCTGGCTGGCCAGGCTTCAGTGAAGTTCAGAGCTTGGCTAAGCTGGACTAACTTTTCTCCATGTGGCATCTTTAAAAAGGCAGTAGGGTCAGTGAGCTTGCATAGGAGTCTAATTGAAAAGGCCAAGCTTTAGGAACCTTAAAACTTCTAAACAAGTACGTTAATTATAAAAAGGATGCTTATGTATTCATTAAAGGCACACTTCCCCCCTCCAACAGGTACACACACACAGCCTTTACCTGGCTGGGTTAAAGATGACCACACGCCTCTAACAGTGATGACCCTGCTGTGTCCTAATGCAGGTCTAGAGCTTCATCAGCCCCAGGCTGCCCCTGGTGGGCACAAGAGTCAGTGTGGTGACTGCTCGTGCTGGTCGTCATGGAGATGTCTCTGCCCTTGCCTTCCAGGTGCCCCCTTTCAAAGGTCTCAGCATCCTCACGCTACCTCCTGCCGCCACTTCCACCTGGGCCCCCCGCAGCCGCAGCAGCTCGCTCCCGACTTCCCGCTGGCCCACCCCGTGCAGTCGCAGCCAGGCCTCAGCGCCCACATGGCCCCGGCCCACCAGCACAGCGGCGCCCTGCACCAGTCGCTGACCCCGCTGCCCACCCTGCAGTTCCAGGACGTCACAGGTCCCTCCTTCCTACCTCAGGCCCTGCACCAGCAATACCTCCTGCAGCAGCAGCTCCTGGAAGCCCAGCACCGCAGGCTCGTCTCGCACCCCAGGTTGGTGCTGCCTGGGGCGGAGGTGGGGACCCGGGTGGGGCTCGGTGAGAGGGCAGGGCCAGGGCGAGGGCGTGGGCGTGGCCCGGTGTGGCAGAGACGGGGGCGGGGCTACAGGCTGCTGGACTCCTGGCTTCTCTCCCTGGTTTGGCTGACAGTCACCAAGTGGGTGTCTGTAGGAAGTAGCTGTTGTTTCAGAGGCGTTCATTTCAGGCAGTGAGCACTGTCCTGACCTGACATGGGCTCCCTCAGAAGCCAGTGTGTGTCCCCATTGCGTCACCCAGGTGCAGGGTCGGGGACTGGGTAACTGGTGGTCCATGATCCTCACAGTGGATGCCTGCATGGTATGGGAGGAAATTTGTCTAGGGAACCGCTCATGTCCCCTCCAGCTTTATGACTGCCTGATTCTAACACCCAAGAACCCTAAAGGATACCAAAAGGAAATGACTGGTTCCAGGAATGGCTGGTTCCCGCCCTCAAGAGCTCTCAAGAACCCACGGTCTAGATAGAGTCTGGCTACGTATTAATACCTAGGAAACAAGCAGGGAGTCAAATTAGACAATCCTCATCAAATAGGTCTGGAGTAGCTGTGGGGCCCTGGGTGAGTCACTGTGCCTCTCTGAGTCCCAACTGTCAGGAGAAAGAGTTGGATAGTCAGTGGATCTCAAACTTTTTGGTCTCAGGACTCTTTTCCACTCTTGCAAATTAATGAAGACGACAAAGAGCTTCTGTTTATGTGGGTTTTGACTACTGATGTTTACCATATTAAAAATGAAAACTAAAAAGTTTTAAATATTTATTAATTATCTTAAAAATAACAAATTCATGTTATATTTTATATATATTATATATCTATTTTAAATATAATAATATATTTTTATGAAAAATAACCACTATATATAAATTTAGTGAGAAGAATGACTTTTTAAAAACATATTTGCAAATCTCTTTAATGTGTGGCTTAATAGAAGGCAGCTGTGTTCTTATGTCTGCTTCTGCATTCAATCTTGCAGAATCTGTGTCATGTAGTATCTGCAAAACTTCTCTGTTCATTTGTGACAGAATGAGAGTGAAAAGGCAAATAGCCTTATAGTATTATTAGGAAAATAGTTTTGACCTCTTGAGCCACCTGAAAGGGTTGCAGGGACTCCCAAGGATGCTCGGAGCACACTTTGAGAAATGCTGGACTAGATCATCTCTAAGGCCCTAGGATGCTTGAGATAGAAGGTGAGTGTTGTAGGAGATCAGAAGGAGAAGAGGTCACCATGATCTGGGATGTTCAAGGAGGCGTTCCTGGAGGAGGAAGGCTTTGACCTGTGCCATGAAAGCTGGGAAGAGTGTTGAAAAAGGGTTGAGGAGAGGAGAAGAGCATGATGGGAGTAGAGGGGTGCATCGAGCCTGCAGGAGGCAAGTCTGTGTGTCTTGAAGGTGGCCCACCAAGGACAGTGAAAAGGAGAAGGGCGAAGAGGCAGAGAGCGTGGGTGGAGGCAGGTAGTCTGCCGCAGACACACCAAGGGAGAGACCTCCACACAGCGGGCAGCCTGGAGACAGCCAGAGTTCCTGAGGTGCAGCCTGCTGTTCATCTGGGAAGCTTCCTTGGAGTTTGCCAAGAGTGGTGAAGCTCAGTGCTTGCTAGACTGTGGGTGCTGAGCGGGGCTGCAAGAGTGGGGCAACCTGAGGGTTTCTCAGAGCTCCTGAGAACTGGTGGCCTGGGTAGCCCCTGACGCCAGGGCTCTCCATCCCTTCTGGTGCAGGCGGAGTCAGGAGCGTGTATCTGTCCACCCCCACCGCCTCCACCCCAGCTTCGACTTCGGCCAACTGCAGACACCTCAGCCCAGGTATTTGGCTGAGGGCACTGACTGGTGAGTCTTCAGGGCCCCTGGGGGAGGCAGGGAGGAAGGGAGGAAGGAGGGAGGAGGGAGGAGGGAGGAGGGAGGAGGGAGGTCTTGCCAGGTCCATGGAGTTGCTGTTTTCATTCACTTTGAGTGGTGCGGGAGGCCTAGTTCTCAGGCCCCAGCCTTTGCCTCTGCTCCCAGCCACCCTCTGGGCCAGATGGTCCCACATGGGCCTGGTTCTAGCAATTAGCTTAGATGTTACTGGGTGCTATTATGGACTCAGCGTTCAGCATAGGACTCAGTGTTCATGGTCCTGCAGTGGGGGAGGGGGGACAGGGATAGAAAACATTTCCCAGGCTCAATGAGGGATATGAACCAGTGGTCCCTTGGAGGAGAGCAGAAAGGAGAATTCCGGGGAACTGGGTGGTCAGGAAGTCTTCCTGGAGGAGGTGTGTCTCAAGGGATCCACAGAGAAGTGCCAGGGCATGCCAGCAAGGCAGTGCTGGGTGGGGTGGCTGTGTAAACACCGACTTACATTGCATCTTGAAGGATGGAGACAAAGCCAGCCAGGTCAGAGGTCAGGACTGAGGAGGGGAGCTGGGGAGAGAGGTTGAGGGTGGTGTTGTTGCTGAGTCTTTGCAGATAGTGGGCCCCTGAGAGACCTGCCCATAATTTCCCTCACTCAGGACAGACGTCTTTGTTGTCCCGAGATGCAGGGTCGCTTGGTTTTGGATCCTGGGTCCCACCCAACTCTGGTTCTAGCTCAGAAGAGAGCCGATATTAACTAGAGTTGGATCGGAACCCTTGAAAACTTAAAAAGATGTGCAGTTCACTGAATATTTAAAGGTAAAAGGCATCATGCCTGCAAAGAGTTCAGGGAAAAAAAATCTAATCTATCATCTATCTTCACAGAGGATTGTGTGTGGATATGTGTGTGTGTGTGTGTGTGTGTGTGTGTGTGTAAGTATGTTATATACATTGGGGGGAGAGAGAAAGGGAGACAGAGAGAGAAGGAAATAGAAATGCAGTAAAATGGTGACATTTGAGGAATCTGGGTGAAGGGTATACAGGAATTCTTTATGCTGTTCTTGCAACTTTTAGGTCAAAAATGTTTTTTGTTTTGTTTTGTTTTAGAGTGTAAAATAATCTATCAATGGAAAAGCATGAATTATCTTAAAGATTGATGTGCTGTTGTGTCATTTTTTAGCCATTTGTCAGGCTTAGTCCAGGGTTGCTTTGGGAGCCCTTCCCATGCACACCCAGGAATGATTCCAGAGAATAGTTCCAGTCAATTGAATGCTAAGGGTGCTTCTAGGTGCAGGAAATCGTGGCTTTCACATGTTCCATTTTCTTCAGCCCTTTGCTCATTCTCAGGTACACTTTCCGTTAAATTGAACAATTCCATAAAAGATAGATTGCACTGCAGCCAACTTCTGCCCAGCCTTTTCCAATTAGCAGATTCAAATTAGGAAGATTTAATTGCAGTTTGGATTGAATTCTGTCCCTCAGCAGTCAAGTCAATTTCATTTAATTCAATTCAGCACACATGGAGCATTCAGGGCCCTTGCATATGGCTGAGTGATTGGAACATGCACAGGGGCCTACAGGCAAGTGGGACAGAACAGGTGACATAGGTGGGACTCATCCTGGGGAGATGGCAGGAGGGGCAGTGCAGGTGCTGGCCCTGTCCTCAGCTTTCTTTACAGAGCCAAACCTCCTTATCTTTCTTATTTAAACCAGTCTGCATTCCTGGCTCCTACCTGCCTGGAGAAACAGAAAGAAGGAGGCTCTGGGAGGCTGGTCCCTGCCCTAGCAGGGGATGCTGGGAGGCCCTGCCTGGAGGCCCGTCTGGTCCACCCTTGGGCTCTTTCTGCCTGTTCTGTTCCCACTTCCCAAGTAGGATGTTGATTCTCCTCCCTTATAATTAGCTCTGCTCCAGTGGGGGGCCAGCCTAGTGGCGCCGAGGGGTTTTGTGATTGATTGTGCTAACTGCATCCCAGTCCACTTTTCTAGAGAGCTGCTTCTGCCAGGAGATAGGCAGCCTGGTAATTGGATGACAGGAAATGCATTATATCTCTACTCTCACCCTCTGCAAGGAGCCCCTGAGGGCCGGGAGAGTGTGTCTGTTGCATCCCCCATCCCCTTTAGAGAACCATCAGAGACCACTGACTTCTGCCCTAGGTCATTCCAGAAACTGGGCTGCAAGCCCATGTCCATCCCCAAGGTCGTCCAGCCCCTGAGGTTACCCTGGCCTTTTTTCCTACTTTGGGATATCTTAACCCAACCCAAGCAGCTTCTCTCAGCTGGGAAGCCTGGCCTGAGAGTGTGTGGAAGCAGCAGGCCTTGGGGGATACATCCTAAACCCCTCTCTTTCTCGCCCATGCCTAATAACTTTATCCTGACTTTGAGTCACAACCCAGTGCCTCCATCCTTTTCATGCTCCTTCTTGGACTCAGTCCTGACTTCTCAGTTCTAACTCTGCTCCCCAGTGTGGACTGTACCCTGCTGTGTCACAGCTGTAGCCCTGCCCAGGCCGAGGTCTGTAAGTACCTGGGACCTGTGGGCAGAGAGTGGGTGGAGGGTGAGCACCTCTAATTGTCCTTTCCCCTCCAGGCAACCTTGCCTCAGCAAAGTCCCCAAAGCTCCCTGAGCCTGGAGTCACCCATAGGATGGTGCTGGCACTCGTGGTGCCAAATTCTAGGAAGAACTTCGGGTCTGCACAGCAACCAGACCACACCATGTTCAAGAACACTGAAAGTGGAGAATAAAGTTCAGTGTGATGTTGAGATACAAAGCCCAAAAATGATACATTGGCACAAGAAATCTCCAAAACACAGTTCTGGGTTAACCCTGTGGCTTTAGGTCTGTGGGATATTCCTGCAACCCATTTAGAAACTTAGCAAGCTCTTACAGGCTGGTGGCAACAGCAAAGGCTGGAGACACTGCTGCTTTAGGGGCTAATTTCTCCTTGAGGCAGGTCCTGGTCCAGACTTCTTTAGGGTTCGAGGAACCACATCCCCTGTTGGGGTAACCTGGGTCCAGGAAGGAATTTCTGATGAGATGATAAGAGGGGCATCATGAGAGCCCACCCAGGCCCACCCAGGGCAGATCATCCCACCCATTTGAGGGGCAAGTGCCTCTTGCTTTTACAGTTAGCATTCTTGGGATTGGGGTGACTGGGTTCCAAGTTCCTCGGGACTTTGCTTTGGTAGAATTCCTTGAACATTTGTTTTGAATTTGTTGGGTTCCCTGAGACTTCTGGGTAAATGCTAAAAATCAGAGCTTCTGCCATGTGAGGCAGTGCAATGGAATGAGCCCAGGCAAAGGTGTGAAACCCTGATGGTCCCAACTGGCCAGCCAAGGTCTGTGAATAAGGCACTGTCCTACTTCAGGCCTCAGATGGAGGGCTGGCCTAGTGGATTTCTAAGTTTGCATCCAACTGGCTCCAAGAGTTTAGCTCATGTCGCAAGTGACGGGCTCATCATGAGTTGTTCCAGGGATTCGGCCTGATAATGGCTCTTTGCATCTTTATAGTGCTCTACAAAGAACTTTTACCTGCATTTTCTCATTTGATGCTCCAGCATTACCATGAGGAGCTACTGTTATCATCATCTTAGAGATGAGACTCAAAGAGGTGAATTAGCTACAGAGGGTCTCACAGCTAAGAAGGGATAGGCCTGGGACAAGGACCTGGGTCTTCTGACAGCTGCTGCTGTTCAGGCTGTGGTGTGCGTGGAGCCTGTGAGAGTGACTGGCAGTCCTTCCTGCCCATAGCAGCTAGACCTGGGCTGTGCAAAGAGGAGGATGGGGCCAGATGCCAGGGACCATCAGAGACCATCAGAGAGCTCCTGCCAGCTCTCCAGGGCTCATACGCTCATGAGCGTAACCCGGGGAACAGGGATCAGACTCCCTTGAAGGCTGATGGCTTTGTTGGGTTTTTCCCTTAGAACTATCTCAGATTACATTGCAGGGCAATGTGTAGCCAAACCCAGGCTGTGTGGGATCCAGGCTCAGTAGCAGCAGGCACAGTGGAAGCATAGAAAGTTAGTGGTCAGGGCCTGCTCGCGGCAAGATGAGGAGGGGAAGTCTCAGAGTCCCATGCCTCCTGCCATCTCGCTCCTGTAGGATCTGAGATTGAACCTTCTGAGGCCCTGGCATTCCTCTCAACGGTGCTTTTAGGGCCTAGCTGCACTTTCCCAAAGGGAAGCTGTGTCCTAATTACCAGGGACCAACCACTTCAATGTACACAGCACACTGCAAGAAACGACTGCTCGCAGCATATTTTCTCTAATAAATGCCACAAGTTTCCATGAATGTGTTTGGTATTTCTGAAGTTGGTGCCCATAGAGATAAAACTTGGAGTTAGTGGATGTTACCTTTGCACAATAGAGAAACTTCTTAATTAAAAAAACCCTTTTTATTATAGAAAATATCAAACAATAAAAAAATAAGAGAATAGTATAATTAATTCACACACATATGTCATCCAGCTTTGACATCAACTCACGGCCAGTTTTTTTTTTTTTTTTTTTTTTAAAGACAGAGTCTCACTCTGTGCCACCAGGCTGGAGTGCAGTGGTGTGATCTTGGTTCACTGTAACCTCTGCTTCCCGGGTTCAAGCAATTCTCCTGCCTCAGTCTTCCGACTGAGTGTGCGCCACCACACCCAGCTAATTTTTGTATTTTTAGTAGACACAGGGTTTCACCATGTTGGCCAGGATGATCTCGATCTCTTGACTTCATGATCTGCCTGCCTCAGCCTCCCAAAGTGCTGGGATTACAGGCGTGAGCCACCGCGCCCAGATCTCATGGCCAGTTTTACTCATCTTTGTTCCCTGATGTTATAGTCATCTCCGTTACCTGTGGTTTCGCTTTCCAGGGTTTCAGTTACCCATGTAAACCATGGTCTGAAAATATTACAGCATTTTGAGAGATTGAAAAAGAGAGAGAGAGAGACCATATTCACATAACGTTTTTCGCAGTATATTGTTATAATTGTTCTATTTTATTATTGGTTATTGTTGTTA